TTGGATGGGTTCACCGAAGCTTCCCTTCGCAAGATGGCAGGGAATGGGATGAGCATTCCCTGCGCAGGGTTTGTTCTTTTGATGGGCGTTTTGGCAATCACCAATAGGTGAGGTGATGCAAACTAGGAAGGTCAAAGATGGCCTGGTTCAGCTAATTCATCCCAATTCATTTGACGGCCAAAGGATGAGCTTCGTGGGGAAAAGGGCGTCGATGGTGGCCCAACTTCATCCTGTATTCTGTGTTTGGAATATCCTTGCTAGATGGGATAGTGAATGATAGTGACAGTGGTGCGGTGTGTGGATTTTGACACTTTTAGCTCAATGCCCCCTTTCGGCGCCGAAGGTGCTGAACCACTCCGAGAAAAAACCCTCAGTTTTTTGTCATTGAGCCATGGCCCCAAACCCAAGCCTCGGAGACCACATTCTGTCTTTGGCGCAGAGCCAGCTGAGAACGCCTCCTGTTCAGACGTTGGCAGCGAATGCGGCCCGCAGAAACGTCACACTAGCTTAGCTCAGAAATTCTCAGGGCTTTTTGGATCAGAGCCCGAAGAAGGTTGTGGGCAGCCATATGCCAAAGTTCAGCGAACAAAGCCTGGTTCCTCTGTTTTTGGGGAGGAGCCTGAGGAGCCTGATGAAGCTGACAGCTCTGCCCTCAACCCTGACAGAGTTTTTCTGGGTGACAGTGATGATGAACCTCTGAGTGATCATGACTTTCTGCCAACCAAAAAAGATGTGTTTTCTTTGGGCTGGCATTGTGTGACAAATTTCCAATATGCTACATTCTGGAAAGACAACAAGGACGACCCCACCAGCAAAAAGACTTCACGGATCTATGACAATAGTCGGCGAAGTGCAAATGCTGCATACACACGAGCAAATCAAGCGGGCGTGCAGCAAAAGAATGGGGTTGACCCGACTCGCCTACGGAACCTTTTCCAATCACCCCAATGCCAGTGTGCCAAATCTGTGTTTGGTGATAAGACTTTATGTTTTAGTTTTGTGGACCACAACTTTCATGTTTGTAGACCATAGTCTTTTCCCTTGTTTTTTGGACGCACAGGTGCCCGAAAAACGTGCTTCAATCAATTCCAGCACTCCAAAGAGCTTCCTGCTTTCTTGGCCAAGTTCTGGGCGATGCCAAAGCAAGATCAAGATGGTTTGGCGCCTTCCCCCAAATGACAACACATATTTTGTGTGTTTGATTGGTCTTTTGAAAGGTTTTGAAATAACCACGGGTTCTTTGAACTTGAAATTGGCCCTCAGATGGCTATGCAATTCGTCGAATGCGAAGACCGGTCTTCTTCCACCTTACTCGACCACCCTGTCGGGAGGAAGTGCCTCATGAAGCTTCTCGGTGTAGGCCAAGGGAGGATGCACGCCCGAAGGTCTGGCGCTCCTGACCTGCGATTCGGCCAGAAGGAACACCAATCAAAGCCTGGCACCTTTACTGTTGATGCCTTCCTGCAGGTGGCGTATGACTCAATAGCCGAGACACTACCAGACCAGTTTCTTGCCCAATTCTAGGTGCTCCTATGAAAAGTTTTGATCTGGGTGTTCTGACAATGTATTGAACCATCCTCTTCACTTCCTGCTCCTGAAAAAATTGGGAAAGCAAACATTTAAGGGCAATTTATTTTTTGGGGTCTCCTCCTGACTCCTGACCTCTTTGTCATCCTGAACCGTCACAGGTTTGTCCGGCGAGGCAGAGCATCCAGGCGGAAGTCTGATTTGGACAGTGACACCCCAAGTGATTTCGAGGAATTGGATTCGGATTGTGATAACGTTGATGAATTGCGTGGGTGGCTCTCCACTCAAAGGCACTGCACTGGCGGCCTTCTTCCACACGAATCTCTAGTTCGGAAGTTTCTCCCACCAGGAAATGTCATGGAATTGTTTGAGCATTACAAATCAACCCAGCAACTGCTTGGTGGGTACTCTGTTGGGTAGCTTGGAATTCCTATGGATTTTCTGTCCTGTGGGTTAGGGACCCAAACATGTATTTTAATTTTGATATATTTTGATCAACATTTCATACCACACTGTTGAGGTACTCCACCTTTCTTGATGTTTACAAGCGCCGATGGAAGGACATACTTCAGTTTAGGCAAAAGACCCTCTTCACGACGTGCGATGTGTGTGCAGCCCTGAAAGCACAACTGGCAGATCGGAGCCTGAGCATGGAACAAAAGTTGGGTTCTCTGCACATTTACAGGGGTCATTTGCATGATCAGTACGCTGACCGGTGTGCCCTATGGAAGCTGCAGGCCGAAGCTGCCGAGCCTTCCTCCCAAATATTGTTCATATCCACAGACGGACTAGATCAAGCCAAATTTGCTTTACCAAGAGAACCAGGCCTGCCGGCCAATGCCCATTTGAGACTTGCATAATTCACCATTTTTCTTTTGTGGCGTCAGATGGTCCCACCCCCCCATCAACAAGCCCAGAGCAATCCCACCGTCTGGCTCTCATCCCAGGAGCAAGCATCATCGGCCTCGGTTGAAGGTTCACGGATGCTGGGCATTCGGGCACGACCTGAATATATTCATATTAGATGATTGCAGCAAACACGACTCCAGCGCAATCATCGAGATGATCTCGATCACCATCGAACGAGACCCTTGTTGAGAATTGGTCCACGCCCCACGCACACACCCCAATTACTTGGGATGTTTTCATTCATAAACACATAGATAATCATAGATATATAGAGATCAGGTGGGATCAAAAGAATATCAAAAGAACCAGAAAACATGCGACCATCATAAACCAACCCAGGCAATGCGACGATGTGATGAAGAGGGCAATCCGCGACCATCCGTTCTGTTGATCAATGTGTCTTGGAGGGAGAATTTGAATGAGAATCAGATTTTCGTTTAAAAGAACTTCCAGGACACATTTATTGGGACCACAACCACTCACTATAGGCGGACAACACTGTCCGAGAGGCAAAGAATCAATATTGCCTTTCTTATCTCCATCTTCTGGTTGCTTTGCACCGCTTTCGTACAGTGGCCATGTGCCACTTACGAAAGTCACACACGCACTGCAGGATTGGTGCTTTGACATATCAAATTGAACACAGTCTTTACTTTCTTCTTTAGTTTGGGCTATCTCTTTGTTTCTCTTTGGGGAATCAAACACTGTCTCCCTTTCCACTGTGGCTCCAACCGAGACCAACTCTGGGGCATCATCAGCCGGAGAATTGCCAGCCAGTCAGACCTGCAAAATCCCGACGATGTGATTGATGCGATCCAAGATGAATTAACAAAGCCGTCCATCAGGGATTGGCTCGGACCCAGGACAGCTGTTCGGGTCCACAAGCTGAACAACACCCGGGGCTGGAAAGCACACGTCTCCGCAACTGGAGTGAAGCTGGAGGGCGGGTTGCTGCGAGATGATGAGGGAAACCATTTGTTTTTGGCAATGCAACGACGAGGCCGGCTAAATGGAACAGAATGGAAAAATTATAGCTAGGAGAAAACTGGGGGGTGTTTTGTGGAGATTATAATCCGAATATAACATCATATAACCTTTGCCCTGCAGATGTGCCACCGGCCTTTACTGATGGTATCAACCATGGCTCCTTTGTTGGTCAGCCCTCTGACCACGATGTGATCACGTTCATCAAGAAACATATCTCTGATCATGAGCTGGCTCAACCGCCAATGCTTGTACTTACCCATCTTCGGGCTTCCAGAATGAACTTGACGCCAACCACAAAGACATTGGGTTTCTTATTTGACTACGCGTTCCTATTGGTGCCTTCCCGTTTGGACAAAACAAACCCACCTCAAAGTGTTTCTTGTGGCCACCCCGGCTTGTTGGCAATCCCAGGAAAGCGAACAACCATACCGCAGCTAACGCGGCGCAGTGGAGGAAGACTGCGCAAGCTGTGTTGTTCACCTATGGCCACAAGTACCAAAGGGCAGCTGCATACTTGGAGGATTTGGCTTCAAATACATATTGGGAAGACACAGATCTGACACCACTCCCTTGGCATTCCCAAGTTGAAAGGGCACTCAACGCTGGAGAGCCCCGCTACATTATGCATCAGGCTGTCTTGGATGCCCTTGCCCCAGCTGTGCCGTTGCGGGCAATCTTTGCTGGTGGGAGACGTGTGTAGAGGGGCATTTCCGAACACCCTAAGCAAACCAGGCCACCCGACCTCTTGCGCCAAGAAAAGAGAGGAATACCTGCGCTGCCACAACCACCCCCCCATGCCCTACACATCCTGGTTGGGGATGTGGTCGGTCATGCCCTGATCATTGGTCTTCATATCTGTGGCTGTTTGCCAAAGACTTCAACCAAAGATTTTGGGGTGGAAAGCTCCCTTCATGACCAAGTATCAACAGGTTTAAAGAGAGGAAGGGAAGGGGTGAGATATTGCGTAGTCAAGGGTCCCAGCAAAGATTTTCGGTGCACCTAGGGGGTCCTGACAACAAGTTTCGGTGCACCCTAAAGGTCCTGAACACAGTTTTCGGTGCACCCTAGGGTCTCCAACAACCATTTTCGGTGGACTCCAGGCCGTCGAGTCGACTCAAAACCATTTCCAGAGTTCAGGGATTCAGGGCAGGGACTGGTGGTTTGAGAATGGTTGCCAACCAACGAGAGCTTTCAGAAAACTACTCTGTGGTCAGAGTCAGAATTCAAATCAATTTGAGGTTCCAGACTTCCGGCTCTGAGGGTTCCAGTCTGGATTTCAACAACACTAAGTGCGTTGATTTTGATTTCAGTTTCCATATCTAGGATCGATGGACTCTAGGAGCTAGAGTCAGCTGAAAACCTAGGTTTTGGAGATTGAGCATCAATATTGTTCATGGGATTCCAAAAAGAAATTGATGTTCAAGTTGCCAAACTGATGTTTTCGATGGACTCTGGGACCTAGAGTAAGCTGATCCTACATTCGAGATTTGAAATCGATTGACTCAGTGAACTGTATCTTCACCGCAGTGACTTTTCCTGAAAGGCCTCGGAGGGTAGCAAACCTTGGCCCTTCGTCCATGACCACGCCTTTCAAGCAAAAGGTGGAGGAACGCATCCAGGAGAAGAAGGATGACACGGGCGGAGATCAGCCTGCAAAGCGCCCGTGCACAGGTGCTGAGAAGCAGTTCAAGAAGCTTCCGGGAGGAGATCTGACCACGGTCAAGGAGCCTTTGGGTCCAAAAGAGCTATAGGTGCTAGTTCCTAGTTGAATGGTCGAATCATCCAGATGCAAAACATTTCAACAGAAACTCAAATTAGGCTGACAGTCTTGATATTACTAAACCATTCAATAAATCCTTTGACATGATGGGCCCTTTTTGATAAACAACCCACGGTTAGTAGAGCTATACTGCGTACTCGCTTCAGGAGATTTACAGCTTTGTTGACTCCTTTCGAGGTGATGCTGGCGCAGATTCGACCCACCCTGCAACAGTGATCCTAGATCTCTTTGTGCACCCCGACAAAGCTACGGTGGATCTGCATTGCTCTCAACTGGAGAAATGGTTCTCTGAATTTGCAAACCTGCTTGGGAAGCCTTATCTGTTCAAGAAGCCTGGTCAGGCTTGGTGGCCAAAGTTGTAAAGCTTATTGGTGATCCGTTTTTGTCCAGTACCAACCACATAAAACCACCAATTTGGGGAGGTGATCAAACATCAACTTTGCCTGGAGCCCTTCAACTTGAAACATGTGAGGCCATGGACCCATCTATGGATGGCGAAACCATCAAAGTGCCAATCACATGCTTGAAGCAACTTAGCTTCACAATACTTTGGTGTTTTCCACCTCAAATCAACTTGCGCGCCACTAGTGGCAAATAGTGGCAACCATGAAATGACCAGGGCCGTCACCCCCTCCACCCAATCAGGTTCACGTGTCCCGAAGACGGGCTGCCTTGCATCGAAGACTGGTGTGGCACCTTCGAAAGCATTCTTTTTGGTGGTGTGGATCTGGGGAGGGAACCCCTTGATGTATCAATGGTCGTCAATGGAGGTTGGGGCTCCTACTGCCTACTACACTTTTTCCTACTATACTTTTTCCTATGCACAAAGGACAGCGTTTGGGAATTTTAAGTTTAGAAACAGCGTGACTTTTGTTTTTCCTATGTGATGTGTCTTGGCCAAAACTTCCCTGCAGATTCATGGCCGTGCTCAACCCAAAGCATTGACCAAGTCAAAGGCTGGACACGATCCAGCATTGTGCTCTTGATCCTCCTAGCAGCCTCTGAGTTGGACTTGAGCGATGCTGACAGCTTTGAGCACGTCAAACCACTAGTGCCAGTATTGGAGAAGTGCTGGATGGTTCCAGTCCATGCCATTTAGCTGGGATCAATTTCAACCCTGTTGTTTTTTGTTTTTCAGCTTGGGGTGGTTTTGTTTGACAAGTTTGCCACCATGCCCGGCTGAGATGACGTACAATATGGATTCCACTGCGAGGAGCTTCCGCAATTTGACCTTGAGCTTTCGGGGCAGTGAGCGGCAGGCGCCCAACGCCTTGCAACTGGCCCTGAGGTTTTCCAAGATCATGGAAACCAGGCAGGCCGAGGGGAAGCATCACCAATCGATGACGGTTGATGAGCGCCTACGAGACGTCGTTGAAGACTTCCATAGTTGTGCAGGCTTGCAGTCCAAACACAAACTGGACGAAGACCGCCTCAAAGCTGTCGGCAACATCATCAGTGGAACGTCTGTTGTGCCCAGACTGTTAAGATAACAGTTCATCTTTTTTTGCCATCTCCCCAAGACATTGGCAGTTTTGATGTTTTTCGAAAGTTGTTGAAGCGCCTTTGAAACTTAGTGGGCTCAGTGCATTTTCCACCGAGCAGTTCAGGTCTCAGAGATGGATGATTGGAGCGTCCCCAAAATCATCCACATGCCCAACCGAGCTGCGAAAGGTTCTGGCAGTGACACAGGAGAGCCAAATCCTGCACTTGAAGCTTTGCGTCGCCAACTTTGCAGAGAATGGAAGGCGGCTGAGGGCCTCTGCTTGGCCTCGTGTCCGTTGGTCGCCAGCAAGCTTTGATGCTCATTGCGACTTTGCGTGTGTCTTTGCATCGGTCTTGAGGGAGGGCCGCCTGCTTGCGAGCTGGACGCCAGAGAAGGAGGAGACCGTCATCAAAGCCTTCTTTCAGAAGATTCTTGGGCAGTGTTTAATGCTTGTTCTATTTCGGCATTGATTTGAAGCTTTTCTGACATAGTAATCAGACATGTTTTTGTAGATTGTTCTTGTGAGGGACTACTGGCAAGAAATTGAAGCCACAGTGACGTCCAAGCTCTCAACATGGAAATTGCAACACCTTGGCATCTGGGCAGATGTGGTGGAACCAGAAGCAGCGCCAGCAGCGAAGGTTCATAGTGCAGCTGAACTGTTGGAGATCGAGGGCGAGTGCCAAGCTGCAAAGTTCAGGGAGGTGAGGGCAAAGGTCGCTCAAGATATTGCTGATATGACCCAGTACAACTCCAGCTTGAAGGAGTCTGAGAGAAGGGCCCATGTCGTCACAGTGATGCACGAGCGGGGCCAAGTGCAGATCGGAAAGGAGTTGCTCGTTACCTCATTTGTTTGCCGTTTGATGCCATTTGTACTTTTTAACCTTTGTCTTTTGGGCTTTGGCATTCCCTTCAAAGCAACTTTTTTGGATGTCTCTGGAAAAAGGCTGTCCGAGAACTTCATGGAGAAGGTTTGCCGTGTGAGCCTCGTGACCGACAAGCAGCCTTGTGACCCGAAGGTGGAAGCGGTCTATCGCCAAGCTGCTGCAAACTTCAAGGCTCTGGTTGCTAAAGCGTGGGAAGTTTTTTGTTTTTGTATTTTTTGTGGGCACAAACTCCCAAGCTACTTGATTCAACCAATGCTCCGCTACCACAGGTCTCGCCCAGTGATCTTTACACTGTGGTCTACATGGATTGCACCAAGATGGGAGTATTGAATCAGGGTGAGATCAACAACATTGGTGCTTTGGCCGAGCGCTTTTTGGCGCGCAACCCATCCCGTTGCTAGGCATACATCAGTCCATGTTTATTCTTACATGAGGCCAAGGGTTCTAGCAACATTATATAATTCATATGTTCTACTATGGGAAATGATTCTGTTCACTCATACTGTTGGAGCCATCCATTAGGCAGTGTCTTGGTGCTGATTCCTCCGCTACTTGTGGGGTCTGACAGCGCTGGCACCCTGCGCAAGGACTACAGGATCGGTGTTTACAACACATGCCATTTCATGCTCAGGGCTTTGTTCTTTTATGGAGGTTTTGTTTTAAAAAGATTAAAAAGCACGAATCATGAATGAACTGTTTCCGTGTTTTCCCCAGGCGGCTGGAAGACAAACTCGGCAACCACAAAGTTGAGTTGCGATCTTTCACCCTCAACTTGAACGTGGACGATCTACACAAAAACAGAGATCTGCCAAGTGCTTACCCTGCCTACATCGGAGTCATGGACTCAACACTCCCCCTTCGGGGGACGGCTCACCGGGTGGTTCGTGGTGGCGCACCCGAACCAGAGAACACTGTGAACGTGTTCCTAATATGAATTTGCAAATTTTTAAATTCAGTATGTATCTTTCTTGAAACAAACTAAACTTACAAAAAGAGGGGGGGCATATGGGGAACATTATGGAACCCAACACCGTTTCTGGCCCAGCTCAGGTTCTGTGGAAGCCCTCTTTGGCTTCGCCAGGCTCTCCCACCGTCGAGCTTTCCGCCTGCCTTGCCAGAGAAGGACTTCGTTGTCCCAGGTGGCTCATCCTTCCTGTCACACAGTGAGCGCCGTTCGCTCACTGATCTGCAGGAAACAGCCCAGTGGATCGGCGGGACCTCTGTGCCAAAGGCCATTTTGGAGCAACTCATGTGCGCCTTTGTCAGAACAAAGGCATTTATTTTAAGCGCTATAAGTTTTCTTAATTCTGAACTGTTGCTGTTCCTTTCACCCCAGATCCCAATAGTACCTCTGATGGTGAGAACTTCTTTTGGGTTTGACTATAAGGCTACGTAGTATTTGGGTGCGTTCACGGGTGTTTCATCACACGGCTTAAGGCAACATCAAGGGAGCGTGTGGGGCATTCATCACACGGCTTAAGGCAACATCAAGGGAGCGTGTGGGGCAGTGGTGGTTCACACAACTGCCTATGATGGATGCTTGGAATTCGCTTGCCTTCAATTGGGCTATCCAGTGGTTGGGACGAACAACATCGAGCCCCACTACAAGTGTGCCAGGGACATAGTGAAGGGTCACCTTTTGGAGGTATGGTTTGGGCAAAGCATAGCAAATTCCAACATGGTCTAAATAGGGATTCCAATCATCTCCATTCAATAAAGATGGAATTAACACTGGAACCCTGACAGGCTTGGAAGAAGGGCCAGGCTCCCATGGACAAGCTGACTCCTCAGTACAAAAAGGAAGCAGCTAAGGAGGACCTACCAAAGAAAGCAGAGCCACCATCCCTGAGGATTTGTCAGGTCACGGATGGATCACGGCTCTTGCTGCCACGTGATGTCAGGGCATCATTCCTCCAAGATCCAGTTTGGGGGATTGAGTGGCGTGAAATTGCGTCTGCCTTCGACAAGCAATGGGGGATGGTGGAACCATCCACGCCAAATACTCCTTCACCAAGCCCTGCAGGCCCTAGCCCAGGCCCAGGCCTCACTCCAAAGAAGGAAGAGCTCCTGGATGATGAGTTCAATTGGTCGTCAGTGTTTGCCGGCGAGCCCGAGAGCTTGGACGATCTGAAACAGAAGTACTCCGAGCGAACAGAGATGACAGGTGGAGCATCCTACAACTTTGTGCTTGTGGAGGGCCCCAAGCTGTTCATGGTTGCTACAGATGCTTGCCATGTAAAAGCCGGTGCAGCACCCATCATTACACATGGCGCAGGCAGTTGGTTGCTGGGGGAAAAGGCTGACAAGTTCCAGGCTGATCACCCGAACAAAGGCGTTCCATGCAAATGGGACACTGAAAGTTAGTTGTGAAACAAGGTGATGGTATAGTATTGCAAAATCTAGGCATAGTCAATTGCACAAAATACTTCTTGGGACACAACCAAGACAATGAGATACACATAAAAAAATGGATATCTGTATCAAGATATGTTATATTAGCTTACTATTATGTTCTCCTGCTCCCATGCCAGGAGGGCAGCAACAGTGATTCAGCTCTCATGTCCTTGCGCGCTGCACTGCAATCTATAGAAAAGGCTGGAATGGTAGATTATACAGTCGGAGGGCATTCATGCCGCAGGCCAGCAGCCGTCGAGCAAGGACATGCAGAGGATCACTTTGAGATATCCCCGGATGGGAGCAATGCTTTGCTTTGGCGTGCAAACCAGATTCCTACCAAGAACCTGAAATCCTCCAATGTCGCCAGCCACTTCACCTTTGAGAACCTCAGGTCCAGCCCCTTGAAGCTTGTGCCTGGGACACATCAGTGGTGGTGGGGCTTAATGACCGGTGAGCATTCTATCTATAAGTCACTCTAAAGGTCATAGGTCCTGAGGTTGAATCCAGCGCGCGTGCAAGAAACAATTGGGTAGTCCAGGACCTATTGCCCCCACACTCGGATTCAGGTGCGGCGCCTGCGGAAGTACATCACCGAGAAATGCGTGGCGGCCGCCAAGCCGCTATGGTATTTGCCTGGGGACATCAAGCTGGTGAAGGGCGCAGCAAAGAGGATCGCGTGAAGGGTCCGCCTAGCTTCCTGTTTTGGGGTTTGGGGCCACATCTTGGAAGGCGCTCGCCTTCGACAGTGGCATTTCTTGGCAGGGCCACTACATCCCCGATGTGTGATGTACGAATGGGCCTTGTGCAAACCAATCTGTAAAGGTTGAACTGCCATGATCATGGCTTCGCGACAAAAGGAAAACAAGTTGGTACAATTTGGGTTTTGTCATTGTGCAAGTCCAGTGATTCAGGCATTTCCACACTTCCTTTTTGGGTTGAACGTCACAAATCAGTCGAATAGAATTGTAATTTGTTGGGCGTGTATTTGATGTGGATGCCATTTAGGTTCTTATCCCAGCCCAATTCTTGACCTAGAAGACCTGATACGACCGTGCTGACATGGTCTCGATCCCAACACAGGTGGTCATCGAAGACGAATTGATGGAGTATGAGCTTTCTGCTCCGCCCTGCAACCCCCTTCCCACAAACCACCATGTTGGGAATCAGGTTCAGGGACACAAAGCCGACGCTGGGATGATGTTTATTCATGATGATCCACGTCCTTCCTTGGGAGTCTTTTGCCTATCATCCTGGCAACCTGCACAAATGGCCGAGCCGGTCTCTGCTTTGCCAGACCCGTACCTTTGCTTGTAAAAATGTTTGGGGCCAACCACTGGCCAAAAATGTTTGAACCTTTGTTTTCTTATGATTCCGTGCCCATGATTCCATTTCTTCCTCCACTGAGGCACGCCGGGGATGAGTCCCAGGCCAACACCGAGGCTGATTCTGACCTGGACAACTTGGCTGGTCAGCTGCGGGCTGCTGATGTGGCTGTGCGAAAGGCGTTGAACTTTGAAGATGTCTATGTGGGTTCTGATGGGGGCCAATCTGAATCTCATGATTTGCAACGGAAGGGTTGTTTGGCGCCAGAAGCCTTTGACTCAATTGGAAGTTGTAGATACAGGTAAACGACCGAGAACTACCAACAAGTCGCACCTGGTTTTCCTTGAGCCAAACAGTAGGTAAGTGAGACATGTATACGACATCCTAGCGTGAAACAACACCCCCCCGCTGAACGAAAATGGGAGGAGTGAAGTTATGTACAGTGCACTAATTAAGGACCTACGAAGGTATCCGGTCCCCCGGTACGTGCGAAGCATCGAACCGGAACGTGCCTTGAGATGGAGAGGATGGTTGACCTCAAGGACGGATGACATAATGCACTGTCATGCTTTGATGCTAGGGTTGAACATGTCTCAACTGATTCATGCATGAACGTTCAAAACAAGCTCACAAAGATAATCTCTTTTGCGCAGCGGAACTGGGAGTGCAATGCCAACCTTTTAGAAAGCAGGAACAAAGCCATCAAGGCACACGCTCCCGCGTGGCGACAAAACACAACAAAAGATGTGCGCTCTTCATTGCAAGGATTGAGAGCCAAGTTCATCGACCTGAACTCAAACGAATTAGCTGCTGGTTTCAGGCATCCGGTCCCCCGGTGCATCACGGAAACGGTCATCCAGGCAACCGCTCCCGCGGTGCGTTGAGGGAAAAACACAGTGCACAGAGATAGCCGAGTCACCCGTAGATTTCATTCTCTTCTCCACAGGCAACAGCTCCCGCTATGCGTCGTGTTCACCACCTGCGCTGACTCCACCAGTCATGTCCTCGCCAGTCACTGCCACGACCGCGATCATCTTGCCACCAGTTGCGGTTGGATGAGGACCACCAGGAAGACGATGAGGATGACTGCTGCCAATCATGGTATTGATCACTTCCGGCAGCTCCTCGCCAGCGATGCTCTGATGTCTCGGCTTGAGTACGTGTTGCTCTGGCCAGACTTTCACCTGGACCTGGTGCGGCCTGGGCCTTGGGAATCACAAGTGCCCTTGTTTCTTTCACAAGGTTGATATCCAAGCCAGGTACAAATTGAGCATCGCCCATCACGAATTCCAGGAGTTCATCCAATACATCATCAGGGTCTGTCTTCTCACTTCGCCACTCACCTCCAAATCCCAGGATTGCGGGTCGTTTCGCACCTTGACAATAGTCCGCAGCGAAAGTCTCAGGACGGTGCAGCCTGTTCTTCCAATAAATGAAGAAGTCCTCGCTCAGGTCAGCATCATTCCCTTTTGCTGGTTCGTTCATGAAGATGACTTTTCCAGCGTATCGATGACCGACGCCACGAGCAATCATTTCCCTTGTCCTCGGAGGATCAGGGATGATGGCATCTGATAGTCGTTCCAGGAATTGAATGCAGATTGGAGAGAGGTCCTGGGCTGCACAGTTGAACGCGTAGAAAGCGTCAGTCAGCTGTCGCTGCGATACTGTCATGGACATTTTATCCGCCTTCTGGACATGGCTTTTGGCGTTCGCTTTCAAGATGTTGATGCCCGAACGAGAAGCACGTTGAACTTCATGGCCAGGCGTCCCCGCCGGCGTCCTCCTCACACCTGTTCCTTGCAGCCTGTCCTCAGGTACCATGTCCATCGTGACTTCGATACCGAGATCGGCTGCAATTTCCTCGATCCGAATGAGCTGAGCAGCTTTACACAGATCCGAGGCATTGTTGAGGAAGGTGCCGCATGTGATGCAGGACATCATGCCATGGGTGTAGGTATGTGTGCATGTCGGGCACTGATCTTCTGGCATCTGAATGCCCTCAACGACCATCCATCGAGTGTTGCCATAACCCTCAGTCTCGGGGTGGATCTTGCGCCAATCAAACCGAGGTCGGTTGTAGTTGGGCAGCATCTCTTTGGGCGACACTTGGTTCCTATAGGCGTTGAAATTGGGCCTGCGAACGACATACGTGACCTCGTATGTTTCCAAATCAGGATTATGCTTTCCTGATATCATTTGGTCTTTCACGCCTGGGCGTTCAAACAGTTCACCGTACACGAATGGGGAAAAAGTGTCCACCTTACCACACCACCTCTCATAGTCACCAAGGACCTGGTAGGTGTACTTTTCCAGTGGACTTTTCACCATTTCATCGTCATCGGCAACTGGTCCCCCAGTGCGTGCTGAATTGAAGGCTTTTGTTTCACCGGTAATGATGCCGCGATAGTGTGCGTACACATGGTTCGCGAAGGCGTAGCATCGGGACTCCATGTCATACACGTAAATCACGTTCCGGTTTGCCAGCCAGTCAGGGCATAGGATTGTACCAGCAGTTGTTTCTATGAGCCGGTGCCCGTTCAACATCATCATCTGGAGATCCAAGGCAACGCAGATGGGGCGAGTCGCCGCCATCGCTGCGTAATCAGTGCCCGAAATTGTCCACGGATCTTCCTTCGTCAAGAATGTGAACCTGGCTCCAGTTCGATTGCCGCCGGGAATCAATCCCATGTTGATGATCTCAACCAGTGCTGCCCGGTGCGTGTAGTGATAGAGGATGGTGGGGGCCACCTCCTTCACTTTTCCCAGCGCACCTCGCGGAACCCGAGGGAATTTGCCGGCCTGGTATTCCACCGAAGTATACTCCTCGTCGAGAGTGACAAAGCGTTCATGCTCAGGAAGTGCGTCCTGCACGTTGTTGCTTGACCATTCATTATGGTTCTGAATCGCTTTGATCCGAAGAGGTGTATATTGGTATTTTCCACCGACCAAAGTCCCCTTTGGCGCAATCCTCACCTCGAGCATGAATCTGTGATTGGATGTAATGACCGTCAGCAGTTCATCGTTGGTAAGGTTGACATCGTACTTCCGCTTGATGAACGAGTACACCTTGCCAAAATCCATCCACAGCCCAGCGTCGAAGCTCGGAGGCTGCACCTTGTGCCAGGATTGTTTACTATGCTCCCACCCTCGGAGCAAGCCCGAGACGCGTCGGGAAATCCAGACTTGTTTCGAGTTCAGGTTCGCCAAATTGGCAGCACCCGGAACCGATCTTGACTGCAACGCCACAACTTCGTTTTCCCCAAGAGGCGACGAAACGGGAGGCACCGGTGGTGCCCGAGGCATGGCCTTGGCTTTGACAGCTGGTTTTGCTGTCGGGGTCGAATCCGAGGACACAGCTCCCGCCGGGCGTTTTGGTACTTTGGGCTGAGTTTCCTCTGTTGGCTTCATTTCAACATCGGCCTCAGCTCCCGCCGGGCGTGCTTTTGCCTTCGGTGATGCCGGTTTTGTTTTCGACTTTGCAGTCTCGCTTGGCACTTTTGGTGCCCTCGGCTCACCTGATGCCTTCGCCTTTGGGATCCTCGGTTGTGGTGCCTTGTTGGCCAGGTCGGGCTCGTTCCCCAGAGTTGTAACCTCACGGAACTTCCTGAGTGCCTCACCAGTGAGCTGAGGGATGTCTTCTTCCGCCATGTAGATGCGAATGACATCGCTTTCATCCTCCTTCTTCCTCAACTGGTAGGTTACCCCGGCGACCTGACATGAATCGGCATGCATAGATGTGAGAATCGGTTCCTTGAATACGATCTCCTCATCTGAGTCATCATCTGGCTGATCTTTGTTTTCAAAGCCTTGTTTGATGGCGGAGTCAAGGTGATCTTTGAGAAGTTCATTGACATAGTTTTCATCCGCAATGGGTTCATTGGATACATGAAGCTCCTCTTCTTCCGTGATGGTAACAGGGTCCACCTCGGTGTCACCGTGCTTCGGCATATCAACGGTGACAGACACGAACTCCATGCCCGGAGTGCCCACGGGAGCCTGGTTGTTTGCATCTCGACCTTCCGTCCCCGGAGGCGAATCAGCGCTGGGCGCAAAGGTGTCGTCAATCTCGATGACTTCCGGCACACTTGCATCCGGCATTGTCTGATCAGCCTTCGACGGTTCAGCCGGGACTTGCACATCCTGACCCTCGCCATAGAAATCCGGACCAACGGTTCCCCGTGGCATATTGTAAAGTCGCTGATTGAATGGCAAGAGCTTGGCAGCTTCAATCTGCTCCTTAGTCGCGTAGACGGGGTCCCCAAGATCATCCATGTGAGCGACCTCGGTAGTCTCAGAGACCGTCAGGAGCCAGCCATTCTTTTGGTCGATGGCAGTCTGCCTCTTTTGACCCGGGATA